AACGCTTAATTTTTTTAGTTTCAATTTCTTCATAAACAAAGTAAGATATTGTCTATTTCTAAGGGTAATTGGTTCAAAAGAAGTGAGACTAATACAAGAGAAGGGATTTTATAAGCAGCACACTTATTAAAATGCAAGGTATTCTGATTAATTTTTACTTTTACCTCTTAGGCCTCAGGATTCTTCTTTTCTGGTGCAAAGACCCTAAAGTTTTTAGGAAAACTCTCATAGAGCAGCTTTGTATTTATAAGACATGGACTTGTAAATTAACTTATAAGCAAAGAACCCAGGCTTGAAATACAATTGTTAAAATTATCATTTTAACTCTCCTATTTAGAACATTCTTAAATATTTCATGAGTCTTGTAATATTAAAAACTGCTAAATACTTCATTTAGTTCTTCTAATTAACACCAAAGGTTCAAAGAGAGCTGAATCAGTAATCACTGTGACTAGTAATACTTTGGATAGTAACAAACGATATACACACTCCAGATCCAAGTACTAGGCTTCATGGTTTAGCCCAGAAAATCCTCTCAGGGTTATCATCACCATGTATGGCAGGGCCTTAAAATATTATAATTGGTGGTGCAATATGGTAGTTAAACTTCAGGCTCTGAAATAAGACTGTGTGAGTACAAACCACAATTCTACTCACTACTCCTTGTGTGTCTCTAAGTCTCAGTTTTCTCATCTATAAACTGGGCGAAATAACATATCTAGTCCACAGCAGTATTTGTGATATTCAAAGAAAATAGTGCATATAAACTGCCATATAAATATATAAACTGCTAAGTAATAGATAGAGCTCTATAAATGATTGCTATTACTATTGTATGAATTTCATTGACACTTGAATAATTGCTCTTATTAGTTAAAATTAGAGCAGGTCTTTTCTCATGGGAATTCAAAAAACATCTATGTCCTTCCACCTGAGGTCTTGGTTTAATTTGGATCCTCTTTTCAATGCCAGCATGAGGGCCCTAAAAGAGAATACTAGAAATGCTCATACAGTTTCCTCCATTTTTTTACTGACCCCAACACAGAGGTCTCTATCAAAAACCACAGGACTGTCAGGCACTCTATATTAGGTTTTTCCTCTTTCAAGTTACCTTTATTCTTGTCAAAAAGGTGACTTTTTATAGGTTAGATCATTCAAACTAGCTCTGTAGTAGAGAAGGTCATGACTCTTTTCAATGATTCTTACAAGAAGACAATTGAAAGTACAAACAAGGCTGCAGTCTTTGCTTTTATTAACCTAACACTTCAGGGGGAATGTTAAATGAACACTAAACCCTATTCACCTTTGCCACTTTCCTCTTCTAGAGAGCAACTGACACTCAGCCCCGTCGTGATAAGCTCCACACTAGTTAGCCAAACACTTGGCAAGTGTACATCAATATTAATGCTGCCAGGTTTCATAATCAGTATTTGGACTGCTGTAAAAGAATTTTAGTATTTTAATTGGGCAGCCCCTGGTTCTTTATTCAAAAGCTAAATTTATTCTAGTGACAAGTTTAATTTTTCTGACATATTTGAGGTTTGTGTCCAATGTTAGGAGAAGCGTAGCTAAAACCATATGGCTTATGTCCAGATATATTAATCACATACTAATACTCAGCTTAAACCTTTGATTATATCATTGAAACTACTCTGCTAAGCTATTTCTATCTCCATTCTGTAGGTAGTCTCTGCATTTTTTTCTAGTATACCAAAAGGATAACCCAATAATCTTTAAGATCTTATCGGATTTTAATCAGGTATAATTCTAAGTACATCTTTCTATCCTAACTGAATATTCAGACATAAATGGTAGAAAGAAAGAGTATGGGGAATGTTAATGAGTCTGACTCCCAGAAATAAAAGGCAGACTAGAAGACTTACATGAACTCTAAAAAATGAGTTAGAAAAGAAGAAACTCAAAAGCCAGGTTTGAAAGCATTTTCTTTTCATAATAGATCAAGGACAATGGATATGATATCTTTATGAGTTTCTTGGATTTATAATATTTAGCTTCCTCAGTGTTTGTTCACAATTGTTGTTGCAATACCTGATAGTAACCTGTTGTGATTATCATCAAAGCCTCGAAAGGAAAAGACCTGTGTGTTGGTTTATGGTACATGATGTGCTGGGGCCTGGAACAGAATAAACAGGAGGTTGTGTCTGTTCTGCTGTGAATTCTGGAAACAGAAGACCTCATAGACTATGGCAAATCTGTGGAGAGAAAGGTTGGCCAGGTTCAGTACCTTTAAGAATTTGCTCCCAACCCATCAAAGCACTCTGCTCTATAGGTAAACAGACCAGCCCAGTAACACTGAACATTCTGCAAAGTCGTTCTCTACTGGCTTCCATTCACCAACCCATTCCTAGCCCCATCCCAGTGCCTGACACTCAGCCCTTCTTTCATCCTTCCTTGGCTTAGCCCCTCCAGCCTGTTAATTAAATGCAGGTGAGCATCCCTAATCCAAAAACCTGAAATCCAAAATGCTTCAAAATCTGAAATTTTGTGAGCTCTGACATGATGCCACAAGTGGAAAATTTCATGTCTGACTACATGTGATGGGTTACAGTTAAAACACAGTCAAAACTTTGTTTCACATACAAAATTATTAAAAATGTTCTATAAAATTACCTTCAGGCTATATATACATATCAGGTGCATATGAAACATAAATGAATTTCATGTTTAGACTTGGGTCCCATCCCTAAGATATCTAGTTATGTATATACAATATTCCAAAATATGAAAGAAAAAAAAAAGTATGACATCTAAAACACATCTGGTCCCAAACATTTTGAATAAGGGATACTCACTCAAACTGTACCTTTTTTCCTAGACTCTGAATTCATCTCCCCGAAATACCTCCCTATCTGCTGAATCTCTGGAAATTATAGAAGAAAAGGTAGAGAGAAAGGCTGAGGAATTAACATCCTTGCTGTAGAAGTAAGCTCAGCAGAGAGCCAGAGAGAGGCCCATTGATTTAATCATCTTGTATTTCCGTAGGAAAAACAAATTCAGATTTTACATGGATAGTTTATCTGTGTGATGTTTGTTAAGTAGTTTTTTCAATGTCCATATGATTAATCTTTAAAAACAATTATCTGGATGTTTAGCATTATATTGATATGGCTATAGTATAGGAATTAAGAGCGTGACTCTATATTTGTACCTGTTCAAAAGGCAAGCCAGATGTGGCTACTGAGTACTTGAGATGTGGCAAGTGCAAATTGGAATGTGTCAGAAATTTAAAACACACACTCAATTTCAAAGATCTGGTATCAAAAAAAAAAAAATCACCCAGCATGTAAAGGACCTCATGGATAATTTTTTATATCGATTACATGTTGAAACAATAACATTTTGGATGAATTGCATTAAATATAATATATTATCAAAATTAATTTCACTTATTTCTTTTCATTTCTTAAAATCTGGTTATTAGAAAATTTAAAATCACATATGTGCCTTTCATTATATACAAGCTGCATGTTCTCAAGCAGGTTAACTAATATTCTCTTCTGTGAAATGGGAATAATAATAGTTCCTTCTTCTCAGAGGGCTTCTTTGCACCCTTATATCAGCAAGTCATTGAAATAAGTTGTCCCCTTAAACAGAGCCTGAACTTAAGCTAGGCAGTATTCAGCAGCCATTGTAATCCCTAAAGAAACTCAACCCAAGAACCACGACACCAATATTCCCGATAGCTGGAAGAATGAGTGCCATCCACAACAACTTCTGTTTGTATATATAAGAAACTTTTTCTGGAAAGTTAAGAGAAACTAGAAAAATGAAAGCATTAAGTTTGTTAATTCAGACACTTCAAGTTTATACAATTTCAAATATAGCCATGACAACTTTCTTCCACAGTCATATAAAAAAAGTAAGTTTCCTCTTTGTGCATTATTTGGAAGTCTATTAATATTCTTTCTTTAAAATAATTAGACAAAACATTAGGGTGCTTGCTTATCTTTGTACTTGATAGAGTATTTGATAGGACAGTTAGAAATCATCCATACATGTAACAGCTGAATATAAGCAAATTGTTGAAATAAGACATATGAAAGGCAAATAACAATACTACATAATATATAGTAAATGCCTGATGAATAGTACAGACAATTTTTCAGAATAGGTAGAAATGACAAGGGCTGAATAAATTGATGGTTTACGAAAGAGGCATTCCAAGCAGAAGTTAAATGAGCAATACAAAGATATGAATCAACATGGCATGCTTGCATGACACACACAGACCAATTTGGCTAGACTGAAAGTTCCTGTTGGACAGTATAAGAGATAAATCTAGAAGCATAAATTAGAGGCAGACTGCAGTAGAGCAGGAATGTCACCACTTATAGGAAGGTAGGGTGATAAGTGCACAGAAGTTATTTGGGAAGATCAATTTGGCAGACACTGCCAAAAGACTCTTGCTCCTCAGAGGCTCTGCATCCTCTGCAAAACAGTGCTGATCTAATAATTTTTATCCTATATCATCAATGATATCATTCTCACTTTATTAATAATTGGGCCTTCAATACATGGGAACCTCCTTGGGACAGGGATTTGCTTCATAAATGTCACACATGAAAAATAATCAGAAAAGAGTATACTAGTAATTGCCATTTCCTGTTGAGAAGGACTAGCTAGCAGATCTCATGTAGAAAGACTAGTCATATGTGATTATGTGGTTTTTAAATGCTTCTAATGTTGAATTAAAATGTCAAAATAAGACAAAAAGCATTAGGAAGTGGTGTGAGATCAACAAACAATAATATGGCTTCTAAAGAAGAAAAAGGATCTCCTTTTGGACATTGATAAGGAAGGTGTAACCAAATGAATGAAGCGGTGCTGCCTATATAAATGGTTTAATCTCTCCTAATTTTAATGAAAATACAAACTTTAATTATCAAAAAAACATGTTTTGCTTAAAATGCTACAAACCCACATTCTCTTTATCCTGTAATGGGGTCTGTGTTTTGTGTGTTTCCTGTTGATTCTCTCAGACTCAAATTAGTCCCAAAGAAGGGTGGCAAGTGTACAGCTCAGCACAGGATCCTGATGGGCGATGCATTTGCACAGTGGTTGCTCCAGAACAAAACCTGTGTTCCAGGGATGCCAAAAGCAGGCAGCTTCGTCAACTGCTGGAAAAGGTAAGTGTTCTGTGTCCCCTATGCATACTTTTACAAAATCAACCATTCTTTGAAAAGGAAATATAATAGAGCAAATAATGGTGAAGAGGATCCTTCTGATTTTGTGCCAATTCTCAAATAAACTTTTTCCTGCTGCCTGAGAGGCAGTATCTCAAGCTTCCAGCTACATTGTCCTATTTCTAGGACTTTTTCACTTTTCCTAGTGTTGCCTTCTTAAGACTGGCTCTCCACCATATATCTTAATATCTAGTCAGTTTCTCCTTAAGGAGGAGAAAAAAAAAAGTAAGTCTTATTCTGATGCCAGAAATTAAGCCTCAACTCTCAGGATCGCATTAGGCTCTTTGAGCTCATTCTTCTGGAACCCATTAACAACCTTGCAAGGAAGTTAAAATAATGGCATACAATGTGAAAGCTATCTGGACAGACAATGAATAATTTCAAGTATTTATCATCATTCTCAAAGTCATTCCTTTGAACATTAAGCTCTTCAATTTCATTCAATATCATTTTCTCCATAATTTACATGAGCTGGATTCATAACAATCAAATGCAGAATGCTCTTAATTTATTCTCTTTTACAGATAAAAGTCAGCTCATGAAAGCTTATTTATGTTTACTTGGAGGGGGTGGTACACAGTGGGGGGGAGAACCACTGAATGGTTCTTTCAATTATCCTCATTCAGACTTTCACTGTGCTCGCGTTCTGAATGGAGGAGGACAGCTGGGGTGGCCAGAGTGATGGAAGGATGACAACATGTTTGAATTTTAAATATCATCAGGGATAATGAGATAAATTAGGTAGTATTTGTTTTAGAGGACATCATGCACAACAATTCACTTTGTGCAGTAGCATCCCCATGATCCCCCACACACCTATGGAATTGAATAGAAAATTTCTAACAGAAAATTAAGAGAAGCTAGAAACATGAAAACATCAAGTTTGTTAATATAGACACTCCTAGTTTACACATTTTCCAATCTGCCATGATAAATTTCTTCCACTGCCATATAATGAAAATAAGTTTCCTCTGTGTCCATTGTTTGGAAATATATTGATGCTCTAAGATTGTAAGACTTTCCTTCATGTTTTTATACAAAGCTTAGTCTGTTTCTCCTTCTCCTCTCTTTGGAGCCATCATCACCTATTGGTTCTTTCTTCTTAAGCCCGCTTTCATGGTAAGATCCCATCCTCCCTACTCGCTCAATATCCATCGCCAGATAAGAGCATATGTCATTTTCATGCAAATTAATGGATCTAGTTAACATGCCTCTTACTTGTTAGAAATCATGACATAGGAATTAAGATTATTTGGGGGTATTATTTTCCAATCTTGATTTCCCTTATTCCAGTAAAAAATACAAATATATCATTTAATTTTATTTGATTACTGGGGAAATTAATTAACTTAGTAAAATGTTTTTATATTTTACATTCAGCCTGGCATAGTGGCTCATGCCTGTAATTCTAGCACTTTGGGAGGCCGAGGCAGGAGGATGACTTGAGCTCAGGAATTGGAGACCATTCTGAGCAACATAGCAAGAACCCATCTCTACAAAAAACAGAAAAATTAATCGGGCATGGTGGTACAAGCCTGTAGTCCCTGCTGCCCAGGAGGCTAAGGCAGGAGGATTGTTTGAGCCCAGGAGTTTGAGGCTGCAGTTAGCTATGATGATGCCACTGCACTCTAACCTGGGCAACAGAATGAGACCCTGTCTCTAAAAAAATTTTTTTTCCATCTAATTTCTTGTCCTATTAAGTTCTATTTCCTCTCATATTACTGACATTCTGCATCAATTGTCTTTTCTATAAAGAAATATTTTTTTCTACATCAACTATGGTGAGAAACATTTTCTCAGGCACCATAACTTTATCTTTTTCAATATAGTGTTGCACTCACACACACAGAGTCAAACATTTCTTCAAAAATCAGTTGAAAAAATTCAAATAAAGTATGAATGTGTAGAAGTGGATAACTCCCTCTATAGGTTTGAAGTATTCAGATATTTATCAGATATTTATCAGATATTTCAGAAATCTGATAAAACTAGGAATTAGTGAGGGATGATTTAGGCAAAAAAAAAAAAATATGAATAGAAGGTTAGTTGAATGCAATCATAGAAATTAATATGACCACTCCATCTGATATGTAATTTGTCTGAATGTTTGAAGACATTCTAGAAAATCACACCATTAAAAATTCATTAATACTTAAATGACAAAAACCAAAATTTATCAACAAAACTGAGGTCACCACATTAGATTTATTAAATTTACCATATGATAGTTTTATGCCAATAGAGGAATAGTGAATTGGGTGCATTATTTTACAGTGGCCTGAGGGAGATAAGTAGCACTAGTTTGCTACACTGATCCAAAGAAAAGACATCTGAAAGAAGCATTCTGTTTCAGACTGAGCCAGGCCCTTGCTGACTTCTCTATAGTTCCACATATATCCAGGGTACCAGAGGGCAAGCAAGGGTGTGATTTTTAAATAGTCCATTCACTGTTAACCAAAAAGAATTGATTTATTCATATATACAGAAATATTATTAATGAAAACAACATTAATAATAATAATTTCCATGATTATAATTTATATTACATTTTTACCTATTCCAATCATTTCTTACAGAAGAGATGGTTATCCAAGTTTACATAAAAGGACACTGGTGCTTTTTGAGGTTAAAAACTTTCTAATGTCACTCAACCAGTTGTGGGCTATATCAGATCAGTTTGCATTTTCTCAACACCATATCAGTGTCATACAAAATGCCACTGGTGGTATCCACACTTATGTAAGTGACTCAATGTCCAAAACTCTTCACAAGTATTTAATTTCTGGATATTAGAAAAAATACAATTGGTTTCACAGTATTTCAGGTCTTAGTATGCCAAAACTAAAATTGTTCACATAAAAACATATCTGTTAACTGTATAACTTCTGTGTACATTTGAAGATGTCCTTCATTGCCTAGGTGAGTACTTCCTAAAGTATGAGTTTTGGAATACAAACTGGCAACATCCTCACCAATAAAACAAGTTTAAAAGAAACACCATACATGATACTTCACTCTTGAAATTTATTTATTTATTTATTTTTTTTTTTTTTGAGACAGAGTCTTGCGTTGTTGCCCAGGTTAGAACGAATGCCATGGTGTCAGCCTAGCTCACAGCAACCTCAAACACCTGGGCTCAAGCAATCCTACTGCCTCATCCTCCTGAGTATCTGAGACTACAGGCATGCGCCACCATGCCCGGTAATTTTTTCTGTATATATTAGTTGGCCAATTAATTTCTTTCTATTTATAGTAGAGATGGGGTCTTGCTCTTGCTCAGGCTGGTTTTGAACTCCTGACCTCGAGCAATCTGCTCACCTTGGCCTCCCAGAGAGCTAGGATTACAGGTGTGAGCCACCGTGCCTGGCCACTCTTGAAAATTTTTTAACACACAATTTAATACTAAAGGTTTTGTGGTCTCCCACAGTCAAGAAATCTCTATTTTTGTTAAACCCAAGGCTATCTAAACATATTGAACCATACAACTTTTTTTCAAGTATCCTCCATACTAATTATGAACGACAGTGAAAATCTAAGTTAATTTGCATTTAAGCTCAGAAATGCCTCAGATATTTTATTTATACAAAGAACCAGGATAAACAAAGAGTTCAAAAGAATTATCAGTGAAGGGAACAAGTTTGCCAAACTATGTAGAGAGGGTCTAAGTACAGGGGAAGGTATAGAAAGCTAAATTGCAGAACATCAGAGGCAAGCAGATTAGAAGGGAAAGCACAGATGACAGGTCTCCTTCTACAAGTGTAACTACGGGTATCCAGTCTCATATGTCATCAGGAAACCCTTTCCTCACTGGGTCTCCATAACCAGTGGGAAAATAAATAATCCTGGCTACAGCCAATAGGAAAAGCTTAAGACAACTCAGAGCCAGACTCTTTCCAATTAGCTCTATCTCTGGCCACTACCCCAAATGTAGCTCTGATAGTTACACATGATTCTATGATATGGAAGCTCACAATCAAGTCTCAGCAAAAATTCTCTTGGTGCATTTTCCCACAATACAGATGAAGTTGAAAATTATCTTGATAAGGTGAGTCAGAGGCAAAAATAAAAGAGAGGCTATTTTTTTTTTTTTTTTTTTGAGACAGAGTCTCACTTGTTGCCCAGGCTAGAGTGAATGCCGTGGCATCAGCCTAGCTCACAGCAACCTCAAACTCCTGGGCTCCAAGCAATCCTCCTGCCTCAGCCTCCCGAGTAGCTGGACTACAGGCATGGCACCATGCCCGGCTAATTTTTCTATATATATATATAGTTGCCAATTAATTTCTTTCTATTTATAAGTAGAGACGAGGTCTCGCTCTTGCTCAGGCTGGTTTCGAACTCCTGACCTTGAGCAATCCGCCCATTCTGCCTCGGCCAGAGAGCTAGGATTACAGGCGTGGCCACCACGCCTGGCCAAGAGAGGCTATTTTAACTTTATCCGGAATACTTCTCCCACCCATCATTTCCAACTGTATGAACTCTGCTTAGGTACATGGAATTATTAGGAGGCTATTGCCCATGCTAATGATGGGTGTCTTCACAGACAAATGTCATGTTTAAATGGGTAGATGGTTTCCTTAACCCAAATGGCTTTTCTTTATTCATGCTTAACCATAAATAAGGTTAGAAAATTATTTCGAAAGCATTGTGTTTATCTGTGATGGCGTTTTCATGCTTTCAGTGTTGTCTCAGTAATTTGGGGCTACACTAAAGATTTTAAAAATGAAGGTTGCTGAATATCAGAAAGATAGCAAATTAATACACATTTGATAATCATGTAATGCTATAAACTAACCAGTAACAGGAGGGGGAAACTCTTTATAAAATATTAAAGTTGTATTTACCCATTATACTTAGTAGTAGAAACCCAAGATAATTTTACTCAATAAAAATATTTATTGAGCACTTATTCTGTGCCTGATTATGTGCATGGTCTTGGAAGTAACAGATATGAGTAAGACACAGCTTCTAATCCCATGGAGTTTACGGAGGGAGAACCACTTCTCTGCTCTTACCTCGAACCCTCATTACACAGTTAGTTTTAAGATAAGCCAGACTGTGATATATCCCAACAAGATGGGATTCATGGAGGGCAGGACTATGGATCATAACAGCAGAGGAAAAAGAAAATGGGAAATTGACCTTGTCTGGCAAAAAAAGTGGAAGAACTTAAGCAGGCTGAGGCCCCATTCACTGCCTTTCCTGAATGTTACTGTTGTAAAGGAAGGTATCAACCATGGCTTCTTTACAGCTGCTGGTCCACTAAGTTTTGTGACTTTACCTGATGATAAAAACTTGTCTCTGAACAAGTCATCCCTTTGTAATTCACAATATTTTCAATGAAAATAATTTTTTACTGATTATATAAATATGTTCATTGATAAAATAAAAATAATATTAAAATACATGAAACAAAGTAAAATTCACCTGAAATTCCACCACCATTTTTTGTGTCCATGCTTTCATATATTCATTTATGCAAATAACCTATGTAATTCTATGCAAATGGTTTTATACATATATTATATGTATATACATATATCCATGGATCTTTTTCTGTAATATTTATTTCTTATCTCCCCCCAGAAAACTAATATTAACAACCTAATATGTATTCCTCTGAGCCTTCCATAGCTTTCTTCATGATTTTATTCTTATATATTCTATATTCTTTTATATGTGTGTGCCTATCCATGTGTTTGATTTAGAATAAAAGGATCAAAGTATATAAAGATCTTTTCGTTTGCTTTTCTCATGGAAATCTTTCCATGTTGAGCAGTGCTTCTCAAACTTTAATAGACATAGGAATCACTTGGAGATTTTGATAAAATGCAGATTTTGATTCGGTAGCTCTGGATAGATCCTGAGATTCTTCATTTCTGACAAGCTCCAAGGTGATGCCAAAGTTGTTGCTTAAAGACAATACTTTGAGTACCAATGCTACAGAGATCTATCTTATTCTTTATGATGGTTCATTCATATTCCATTCCTCAATTCATTTCACAGTTCTCCCATTATTAGAAGTTTTCACTTTGTTTTCAGATTTTTGCTTCCACAAAAATTAAACTAGCCTTCTTTCCCTCTTGCTTTTGCATGCTTTATAGTGTACTAGAATGAATGTGTTCTAAGTCTATTGGGCACTTCACTACTATCCACAATTGCTAAGCATCCTAGATCAGAATCAGTACTTACAAAAGCAACTTATTTTGACATTTTACAACATGGAGTGTTATAAGCTTACAAAGGCTTGAAATGAAAATTCTATTTATAAAATTTATTTTTCTAATGTATCAAACTAATTTGTATTCAGTCATTTCCAATGCTAGAAGGACCATTTTTTTTAATTTCCTGCCCAGGTATAATTTTCACTTGCTGAATTCTTTGAATGTTAGTCATGAAGAATCATTCTTCTGAAAATGTGCCATGTATGAATGAAATTTTGGATTTGCACTTCTGGTTTTTTATGTTAATGCTATTTTTGCTACTTCTGTGCTGATTGAATATAGCTGCAAACTGACTATAATGTACAGCCAATGTTCTTGTTTAACAGGTTCAGAACATGTCCCAGTCTATTGAAGTCTTAAACTTGAGAACTCAGAGAGATTTCCAATATGTTTTAAAAATGGAAACACAAATGAAAGGGCTGAAGGCCAAGTTTCGGCAGATTGAAGATGATCGGAAGACGCTAATGACAAAACATTTTCAAGTAGGTCTGATTTCTGCAGTTTTGTCAATCCAAATGAGACACTGAGTGGGATGGACAGCCAGCAGGGCACTCAGCTAGAAATAACTGTGCATTGGCCCATATGTGCAAGGTTAAAGACTCATGGGGGATTTAATCATCTCTCTACTGAAACTGACCATTAGCTAGCGGGAATGCATGGAAGACTTCCTATAAAAAGAGTCTCATCCTCCTAGGACTAGGTAGAATGTTAGGATAGTTTTACAGGTACTTCAATGTCTAAGACAAACTGAACTCCTAAAGAAAATTAATAATTAAATTATCAAAGTTTCTCTGATGGTTTTATGCCCTGCTAATATGAGGAGAAATGTAGAGGATATGAATTATTAAAAGAGGCAAAAATATCACTAATAAGAGCATGTAAAGAGAGTTGCTTCATAATTTTATACAAATAAAATCTTTTTCTGGAGTTTATGTGTTTCATAGGCAATTATCTGGAAACACTGAAAATGGAGGGGAAAAGCATGCTATGTTGAATTTTATTAACTATGTATGAAAGAGTTATGAATTTTAAGAAAAAAATCTTGGGATGATAATGCCATTTGAGCCTCTGTTAAAAATAAATTATCTGCATTTCAAAGGCACAGCATACTATTTATAAAACACATTGTCTGTCATTGCACACTTAGTCTCTGTTTTCCCTGCCAATTAGGAAGTAAGATTCACTGCTGAGGTTGAGGGAGTGGACCTAAATTCAAGCACTTGGTCAAGGACAGAAGTGCTTTGTGTACATAATGATGACAGGTGAGGAGCTATCCAGGAAGACGCAGCAGGGTCTCTGCATACCATATTTTAATGGGGCAGAAAGTTTCATGGTTTTGTAATTTTTTTTAGTGGTGCCCAGGAGACTGAGAAGCAAGGTCTAGAAGCAAGTAAAGTCCTTAATCAGTTTTAAAATTTTACCAGAAGGTCACAGAAGGAAAAAGGGCAAGACAGTTTAGGGTAGTGACAGGAGAGGGGACAGAAGTGAAGAATTCTGAGGGCTAAATTGAAGAGAGAGGTAACCAAAGCCAAGAGGTTAAAAAATTAGAACCAATTAGAGCAAGACCAAGAAGATACAATAAATTTAAAGAATATTGGAAATGGGAAAATGAATGAACTGGACAAATAGAGACCTTATGGAGAAATGGTAAACAAAAAAGAATATAAGGCAGAGGAGCAAAAGAATTAATTTCAACCAGTATTTACTGAGCCCCTACCATGCACAAAGTAGGGCTAGATGCATACTATGTAATCTCTGTTCTGTGAAAGACAGCTAACAAGCAAGTGAAGTTGATGAATAGAGGCATAAGCATTACTTAAGGGGGCACAAAGGAAGGAGTGATTAGTTTTGTTGAAAAAATATCAAGGGAAGGGTTATGAGATTCAGCAATATTTAAGAAAGCAGTTTGGGACTAGTACCCTCCCCAGTACTGAATTATGGGGGGGGTGGGAATCAAGATAACCAAGGATTTTCAATATCAATTTTCAGTGCTCGGGGTTAGGGTAGATGGTAAAACAATAATGTGAACCCAATGCTGAGGTCATCACCAAAGTAGGATGCGGTAAGCTGGTACTTCAGGTGCAAGGAAAGCATTCCCAGAAGGAACAGGCAGAGGAAGAGAGGCTGCTTGGTGCAGGCTGCTTGGTGCAGATGGACAATGCAATAAGAATTCTGTGAAGCCAAGGGACAGCTTGAGAGTGCCAGGGTTGGCAGGGCTGGGGAGGTATGATGAAGCTTGTGCATGTTTGGAAACTCTTGGGAGAAGATTAGGAAACAAACATTATACAAAGTTGGGAGAAATCCAAAGAAATAATTTGCTTAGGCTATAAATTGCCTAACAGCAGCCAGCTTACCTAATAAGAAAAATTAATTTTCAGGCAATATCATGTGACATAATGATTTGATTTTCCTAGTTCATGTAATCCAAGCATATGCTCAAGTTGTATGTCAAATTCCAAATAACAATAATGATAAGAAAAATGTTTCTGAACATTTACACATATTCAAGGCCCAGATCTGAGAACTTTAAATATCTGAACTAGCTTAATCCTTGAAATAGTATAAGATAGGCCCTACTTTAATCCCCATTTTGCAGATAAGGAAACTGATGCAGAAAGAGGTTGAGTGATTTGTTCAGGGTTGTATATCTAATATGTATGAGAACCAAGATTCAAAATAAGTCTAGCTCCAGACTTACACCTCCTATTGCCAATGCTACACGGCCTATCCAAGTGGATGTTAGCTCTCTGAATTAAAAATAACAATTAGCTGCTCAATGTATATTTGTTGAATTTAGTTATTTATGGAGTCAGATCCATATGAGTCAGATCTTGTTCTAGGTGGCTGAGTACCATATTGTGAGAATAAAAAATGGAACATTCAAAATTTAACATTGAAGAATACATTTAAAATTTCTGATACAAAGTTTCATCTATCAGAAAACACTAATACAGGTTCCTTGCCTCAACCTTTTTGTCAGAGGCAAGTTATGCTAGCTATCATGATTTGTAGGCTATCATTCTCTATGAAGGAGATTGTTGTTGGCAAGATATTCTAGCTGTGACTTTCTAGAGCCAACATAGAAGATGAAATTATAGAAGAGATGTAAAAACACAGATCATGCTCTCCTACTTTAACTTTTAAGTATTTTGATCTGCTCATTGATTACGACTTCTTACTAGTCTCTTGAAAATTTCTAGAGTTTCAAAATTGATTGCAATATTGACAAATTTGCAAGGTGTTCAAAATTGATTGCGATTATTTATCCAATAAAATAATGAACTGTTGAACAAATTTTTATACCCAGGTTTTTAAACTGACTGTGGTAAAAAAAAAAAAAAAAAAAAAGAGAGAGGATTTTTAAAACTAATTTTTTATTGAAAGGGGAAAAAACTCCATAAATTTTGCATTGAAGTTGTTCTCTTTTAAATATGTCCACACAGTGCAGAATGTAACAGACCCCTCTCATTGTTGCATTGATATAATGAGTTCAATATGTAGCAAAGCATGACCAGATCACATCCTTTCTCATTAAATCTAATGAACCAATTTTGTCTTCCTTTAGGAATGCTAAAAATGCCCAACCACTACATATACTTTATTCAAAAGTAAGCCCCAAAATGAGCAAAGCTTCTGCATTTCTAACGTTTTGGACTGTGATATTTATTTTAGTGAATATTTCTCGATTATTAACCTCCTGTAGCCTCCTACTCTACAATGCAGATATGCTGACAAATTCAAGAGATTGCCCGAACTCGCAGAGCAAGTAGAAAATTTCCCACAAGAAAACAGCCAAGGCCTATTAATAAGGAACAGCCAATGAGAGCTCGCTGCTATTTTAATGCATTTATAAGAACAATCTTCCTGAATGTAAATTTAAAAATGCAACTTTCAGCTCCTTAGTTAGTGTACAACATGGTGTTCTGACAACAGTCTATGGATTATCTCAAAATAAGCGATGAGAAGACACAGCTCTTTCCGCACAAGTGTATCATCGTGCACATAATATTCACAATGTGATCGAAACTCCTGAAATACCCTTGTTGGCCACTACCACTGAGTTAGAGGGAAGAAGTAAAGGTGATGCGTCTAGAACTGCAGGTGAAACTGCAAGATGTGGCTAAGTCCTGCTATGAGTAGAATAAGAACACTGCTTGACAACATCTCACTTTCTTATTCTCTTGACTAAAATCAACATTCAGTTCACAACCAACTGTGCCAACTGACTCATCTGTTACATAAACTAGCATTTTGGCTTCTTAAAGAGTTAATTCACTACACAAGTAAGCAATTCCTGCCTTACATAATAACCTCTAAATTATCCATGCTAAAACAAACTGGAGTCAGAGAATAGGTAATATTCAAAATGGTAAACATCAACATGCATTTTCTTTGAGCTTTGGGAAGCTTTGCATGATTTATTATACTTACTGAAGTTACTTTGCTAATGAAGTAGTGCTAAGATGGATATTAAAAAGAGCTAGGAATACCTGAGCACAATGGAAAAACAAAGCGGTGGATACGAAAAGCTGATCTGATCCAGACTCTAAAATTTCCTGTATGCACGCCTATAACATGGACATTTAGTAGGTGGGTAATTAGATTAACTAAATAGTAAGTATTTGATCTATTTCAATCACTTTATTCAAATTTAATTCATAATTAGAAATGAACTCTGCTTATATTTCCTAACTAATAATGCATTGTTCACTTGATGAAATGCTACCAGAAAGTGAGAAATACCAAATCACCATAGAATATTTCTAATTATGTTAAAAGACCAATTTGTTTATTTAAAAAGCCTGTAACCATTAAGAGAGATTCTTGCATGGAAAAGGCTGAAATAAGTGATTTTACTACTAATGATCATGTGGCCACTTTATTTTCACAAAACACCTAATTTCACCCAAAATCAATAAGGAATCCAAAGCTGTTTTAATAATCTCTTTTAGTGTCATAATAAAAAAATAGCTGTTTAACTTGTTTTAAATGGCTCTCAGGAACAATTGGCTGCTTTTCACAGGAATTGAAAGAGAAGATGGACGAGCTCCTGCCTCTTGATCCTGTGCTGGAACAGTAACAAAACAGATGCCAAGTTAATCACCCAGTTCAGGAGGAAATCCGGAATCTGTCGGCTGTCCTCACTGGATTCAGGAGAAATCGGTGCCTATGACTATGAGGAACTGCATCAAAGGGTGCTGAGCTGGAAACCAGACTTCGGGACTGCATGAAAAGCTAAGTGAGTAGACACATTTTCATTGTCAAGTTGTATTTTTAAGTAGTTTCAATGAAAACTGAATTGTTACGTTTTTGCAAATAGTCCTAAAGTACCTAATTATAGGGAAACAGTGCCGTTTCTGAGTGTAAGTGTTCCTTAATGACGTAAGCTATTTGGGCACTCAGTGCTTGATTAACAGTTTCCTGATTTTAGATCACTGTGTTACCATTTGTGGCTTGAAATTTGTAACTTGGTAAATACAACCAACTCTATTGACTATGCTAGTGAAAATAAATTTTATTTTTAAATACTTGAGGGCCAATCATTGCTTGCCTAGAGGAGAGGGGAGCATTTTTTGGTAGTGGAGAAAGTTAGAGCTGGGAAAAGGAGGTTACCAGGGAGAAATGTGAAACAGCGATGATTAAAACAAACCAAACGATTTCTCCACTATGTAGAATTGCCATCAACTGCTCTGATCTACTCAAGAAATAAAATGGGTGCACTCACTTAAATAGTCACCACTTGCAAGGGGTCAAGCATGTGACATGGGTTATGGACTCTAGTTCTTGTCCTAAAATGCATGGTTCACTCTGGTCTGAGTTTACAAACTCTCCATCATATCCATGAACTAATTATTCAATGAAGCACCATGGGAGTAGTAGCAACTTACATGCAAAATAAGCAAGTAGCCATGAATTAGATAAGAAAGAGTTGTATGTCCATTTGGACAAATCCTTCAGTTGTTGACAGGAGATGACATGACTGGGAGGGCAGCTCAATAACCATAGCAAAGTATTCTTCAAGGTAAAGAAAAATTTTCTGGAATGAAACACACTGTGAAGAGAAGCATTGGAAAAAAAAATTTATCCAATTTCTATAAAACTTCAGTAAATAAATGTGAAAATTTAAAATAAAATTTGAATGGCTTACAGAAACAATTTAAAGACTATTTTACAAATGTGCTTCAAATGTTAAAAAGAGAGCCCAAAATACAAAATGTTGCATTCAGTTATCACAGCCTCAAGACAATGTGGGAAATCACCACATCTAAAGCTCCACTGTAGTCATTGCAGGATCTCCAAGAGAATTTAACAAAATTAAACAGAAGGAAATAAATTTAACCTGAAGGCAGCACATGGTCAGGAATCTCAGCTCCTTACTTCTTATCAGGCAAGGTACACATCTTTTCATCTATACCTGGTCTGCTAGCCATTAATTATGTAGATTCCATGACTGTAGCTCTTGCTTCTCTCCAACCCACTGTCCACATTATTGCCAAAGGGATTTTTTCTGAAATATAAAGCTGAAAATATTTTGCTCTGCTTAAAATCTTCTATGAATTTCTTGTGTCCATGGTTGTTGAGGCCCTTCATGTGTGGCCCTCCCTGCTTCTCCAGTCTTAAGTTTTGCCACTTCTTCCTTCACACACTAAGTCTCTGCCATGTGTACCTTGCACTCTCTTACCCATGGACTGTTATGAGATGCTGTTTGTTCCTGCTCTTGAAACACTCTTTTCCTATCAACAGATTTTCAACTACCACAAGTGATGGACTCCTAGTCATTCTTCAAGTCTCAGCTTAAATCTTATATCTTGCCAGAATCCTTCATTGCCTTCCCAGACTAGCTTGTATGTCCTGCTAGGTACTCATAATCCCTGACATTTCACTAATTATTGGACTTTTCATGTTTTGTTATCATTGCATGTGTAATTGAATGTCTCTTGCTATAGTTTTCTTCCTTGAGGGAAAAAGTAATATTTATTATGTTCACTCTACATTCTGTAACTCCCAATGCCTAGTAAACTACCTGCCAAAGAAAAATTACTCAATAAATATTTGCTGATAAATTAATTCTGTAAGGAGTCATAGGAATAATTTCTAAACTTTTCAGCAGAGTATTAGCTATTTCAAGTGGCAGGGAATGAGATGTTTTACTTATAGAAAAAATGCATCCTTTTAGCCACATAATCTGTAAGTCAAAAATAACATAGGTATGATTAAGACTAAGCAAGATAGAAGTTATTTATTTGACATAGCACTTAAATACCCTTTCATATGCTCTGCTTTTATAAATCAAGTTCTGGAGTTTATGGTCAATGTACAATAGGTAAATATTACTGACACAAAGAAATTACGCTGTTGTGCTTTATTCTTTTCAAATCAAGAAATAGCTTTAGTTCAATGCTCATATTAGTTACATAGTTTACCAGATGATGTCTCCACCAAAAAAGAAGAAAATCTCAAACCAAGAATTATGTAGTGTCCTCCATATCCACATTACTTTGGAGATTACAAAAAGTATCCAGATGCATATTTTATTAGCTCATAAAATATCTGGTTAAAGATTTTCTGTTAATGAAGCATACAGGACTAGTCTATACAGAGCTTTGACTTTCTTTGGCAGAGGTCCATTTGTTGTAGATAAACCATTCCAGATCCTGAGAATCAATTCACTCTTTTGTTTCTACCATGTCACAATAAACCTGAGCACATAGGCATTGCATCCTGAGACTGGGCATCTTCTAAGTACAAATGGACTCTACTAAACGCAAGGAGAAGCAATAGGATGGTTCTAGCTAGTAAAGGCCTTGAACCTTACATTGTGTGAATTATGTTTTTGAATGATTAACAGAGAAAGCTCTTGGGATTTGCTTAAATTTAGAAATGAACTTTACTTCTATATATGTTCTGTCTGAGTTTACTTAGTTTGAAATAATTTCTACTGCAGTTGGGTAACTCCATATTCCCCTCAGCTCTTTCACAACCCCGTTTGTTTGTTTTTCCTAATCCACATATAGCTCCCCGCTTACAACCCCCTTCAATACAGAAGAAGTTGTTGAAATGATATGTCAGACAAAGAGGATTAATCTAAGTGGACATGAATTCATCTTTTTCATTCTTCTTACTGAACCTTGGATAATATTTCTATGGTGCTCTTAAACTTTAGAACTTGATTTATAATATATATATATATATATATTTGACATTACAGACCCTTTTTTATTAACTTTGCCTCAGGGACCACAAAGTTTGAAAACAAATGTGACTGTCAAATGAATTGCATTAATTAACATTCATTTTTATTTTAACTAATCTAAAGTACAAAATCTAGCAACAAATATAATACAAATACCGAACAGCAATAAAATTGGTATTCAACTTTCTCATTTAATGGCATGGTTGCTATACAAGTTAATTGAGATGACTCTATGAAATATTGAAAATAGTTCTTATATTTCATAAATGTTTTCCTAGATTATTAGCAACCCTTGGTTCCCTATTCATTTAGTAGAGAGGCCAGTGCCGAACTCTTTTATGCTTTTTGTCTCAAGAACTGGGTAGTTTTGTCCATTCCACCAAGTTTATGTCAGTTAACTACTTACTAAACACCTCCCAAGCAGGGACAATATTTATCACCTGGACCACAACACTTAATTTCAGTTTAGAACAATGTCGAGGCAGAAATATTCTAATTATGTGAAGTAGAAAGCCACATGGTCCCTGAAAAAATAAGTAAATAAATCTTCATATTTTCCATTAAAAAACAAACCAATCCAATTGGAAGAATGTGTCTGGTAATACATATTTACACACAAACATACATGTAATTGCAGAAGAAATCAGACATAATTTCTAGTGTGGCACTAGGTCACAGTACTACACTTCTTAGTGTTTACTGGCAATTGGCACAGGTATTTATCAATAAGTATTTGCATTTCCTGGCAATTGATTCAGGTTGGATCAATTCAATTCATCTCTGAGAATCCTTTTAACTCCAAGTCTACTATTATCTCATAATTAAGTGCTCAAATATCAAAATATCAGAACACATGGTCTTGGGGGAAAAAAAGATGTTAGTCAACATCAGCACCATTTACAGAAGAGTGAAAGAAAAACATATCAGAGGTTCAATCTTACAAAAGGGTCTAAAATCCAGTTGCCATGCTGCTCATATCTAGAGTGGGACACTGGATAATTACAGGATCAGCAATGTAGTAACAAGAGCAAGAAGACTCATTTATCAATGGCATCTTCACTCTTCACAAGCACCTCTCAACCCACACAGCCAATTAGCAGGGGGTAGAAATGAATTGAGGAGAGACAATAAAATTGCAACAATGATGGATGCATTTCTCCTCACTTTTTCAGTGTGGGTTTGCTTTTAAGTAAATGTTACAGAGTACATCACATGAATTTTAAAATACTAAAAAACAAACTAGTCTTATTGCCTGTAATGTCTAAGTTACTCCCAAATCATAAGTAAGGCCCTTAGGGAATTACATGTCATTGAGACCACTAAGGCACCATTTAGCTTATTTCTACTAGAGAATTAAAGATTTGGAGAAAATAGAAGTTAGCAAAATGCTTCAACAGCAATGCACCCTAGTGGCCTGCATGAGGTACAGTAATTAATGCCCTTTCCAAAGTGCTTAATTTTCTCCTATGAGAGATTGAATAGAATAAAATCCCCTGTGCTTAATTAAATCATATCACATTCCTAGATATGCAGAACATAATTATATGTATGTGAGAATTTGACTGAAAAAGCATGGTTAAAGCTCATACACCCCCCTGAGATCACCAAAAGATATCTAATGGAGATTATAATCAGGCTTTCCAGCTTTCTAGTTCTCTACCCTCAACTCCCTCTTGTTAGTTCTATTTTAGGGCAATGGTTCAGTGCCATCTAGTGAAGCAAAGCACTGGCTGCATCCTTCTAGTAACACAAATGGTTTCGAGACTTCATATTTAAGTATCAGTAGCAGTAGAAACTTGACGTCACAAGTGGTAAGATTTGGGTTACTGTCTTTGCTGTTTAAGCCAAATTAGTTTTTAAAAGGGAAGCCAAACTATCTATCTGCTAAATAGTCTTACTTGCACATATGACAAATATTTATTAACTCCCCAATGCTGGCACTTTGCTAGGTATTAGCAGATGCAAAGATGGACAGGAGGCCGGGCGAGGTGGCTCACGCCTGTAATCCTAGCACTCTGGGAGATTGAGGCAGGAGGATCGCTCAAGGTC